GATTGAAGTGAGACACTAAATTCTAGCGGTCTGCATAAAATGTCACAAAAAGAAAATAAATAATTTTGTTTTGGCCTTATCCTTGACTGGTTCATTTGCTGTATTATTTCTAATTTGTTAAACTGTTTTGTGTTGCCTTTGTCTGGTTAACAATAAATGTATAGAGATTTAAAGTAGATACAAAATATATATGAAGGAATATAGATAATTTATTTTCCCTAAGAAGGGGCTTTTAGTTAGTACTGTTACTGTTTAGTTATTTCAAATATAGTAAATTACAGAGTTTGTCATTTTTCCCAGATATTTCCTGATGTACTGTACACTACCATTCAAATGTTTGCTTTTGTCCACTGAGGCTGCATTTATTTGATCAAAAATACAGTAATATTGTTTAATATTAACATATTGTAAAATGTAATTTATTTCTGCGATGGCAAAGCTGAATTTTCAGTATCGTTACTCCAGTCTTCAGTGTCACATGATTTTTCAGGATTTGTTTTAATATGCTGATTTGCTGCTCAAGAAGCATTTCTTATCAATGTTGAAAACATGCTTTGTTTTTGTGGAAACCATAATACTTGTTTTGGGATTTTTAGAATAAAAAGTTCAAACTGCCGTTTTAAATATTTTTTGTAAAAATGTAAGTCTTTACTGTAAGTCTTGATCAATTTAATGCATTCTTGCTGAATACAAATACTAATTTTTAGTATATATACAGTGGTGTGAAAAAGTGTTGGCTCCCTTCCTGATTTCTTATTTTTTGGCATGTTTGTCACACTTTAATGTTTAATAGGATAATGATCACTCCCTATAGTCGTTTCTCTATACCCGCCAGTGAATTTGAAACAAGTGTAAGATCAATAGCTGCTTCTGTTCCTGTTCTTACATTAATCCTTGTTCCCCTTCCATCATTTAAACATACTAAATCCTTAATCTCCATTAATTCTTCAATCACTATTCCATTCCCATCATTACAATTGTCCCATAACGTGCTATGAGCATTAAAATCTCCGCAACATATGATTTTCCCTTCTAAATGTACAATCAATTCATCCAATACCTCTAGTGATAATCTTTTACATGGATTATAAAAATTTATAATTTTAACATTTCCTTTTTTTTCCAATACTTCTATTATTATAAATTCCAACTCCTTTCCTTTCCCTAAAACCTTATATTGTATTCCTTGTTTTACAAATATTATACACCCTCCCCCAATATCTTCCTCTCTATCCCTGCGTATACTATCATAACCTTTAATACTAAAATCTAAAACTGGTTTAAGCCAGGTTTCCTGAATGCATATGATTTCTGGTTTCTTTTTAAACCCTTTTATAAAACCTTTAAACTCTTGACCATTTGCTAACAAGCTTCTTGCATTCCATTGTACAATATTCAAGTTGTCTTATCACCTGCATCTCCCGACTTCCCATCAACTTCCAGCCTTTTATTGATATTTTCCCAAGACATGTTGTTTATACCCAAAAAAATTTCAGCTCCCTTCACAATTATTTTAATTTTCTCTGTTTTGTGTCTGACTTGGTCCGTACAATTAATTACATAAGCAATGAACAAAATCAGCCTATCCACTGTCAGTTTTGTGCTGCTTTCCACTGCTTGACCAATCTCTTGTCTCAAGATGTCCTTATCTTTGTCAGTATCATCACTTCTCCTTTGCTCTTGGACCTTCTTCACTGCCTCTGCATAACTTATGTTGTTTACCACTTTCACTTGTTCAATTTCCACAGCTCTCTTCCTTACATTACATCCACTGTATGTTACCCTATGTTGCCCCCCGCAATTACAGCACTTGTCTTGTACCTTCTCTTCACAATTTTCAATTCTATGATCACCTCCACACTTAGGGCATCTTTGTTTTCCTTTGCACACCGCTGCTATATGTCCATATCTCTGACATCTATAACAGCGGAGTGGGGGAGGAATATATGGCCTCACTGCATAGCTCATATATCCAATTTTGACTCTTTCTGGAAGCACTGAATCCTGAAACTCCAAAAGAACTGATAAACTATCAACCCTTTCCCCATTCATTGTTTTTTTTAACCTTTTTATTGTACTCACTTCACCTCCAGAAATACTTTGTTTGAGCCTTTCTAGATCTTCTTCGATTGGAATGCCTGTTATCACTCCCGGTTTCATTCGTCTCACCCAACATCTTCCTTTCGTTCACTTTTTTCTTGCAAACATTATCAATTTTTAGTGCGTTGTTTTTTTGTTCTTCTGTTTTACATATTACCAACAGGCTTCCATCTCTCAAAATCTTAGCCGTATCCACTTCTCCTAACTTTTTCTTCAACTCTCTAGACAATGCTATTGGACTTAGATTAACCTGTTCATCTTCCTTTCTGAATTTAAGAATTACTTTATATTCCTCTCTTACGACCTTTTTACGTACAACCCTATTATCTTCATCTGAGCGGTTTCCTTCTAAGCCCCTTTTACTGGTTTGGCCAGTTTATGTCAACCGCCGTAGACTCCAAACACGACAAAGTCCTCCAAAACGTGCTCAAGCGAGAGAGCTCGCCTGCTGCTGTTCACCTCCTTCAAACTATGTGAAGTGATGACGCCGAGGGCTGGTCTACTTCACTTTGTCAGGCAGGTCCTATTTAAGAGATTTCTTGATTGCGAACAGTTGTGGCAGTAATCAGGCCTGGGTGTGGCTAGAGAAATTGAACTCAGGTGTGATAAACCACAGTTTTAACAGGGGGGCAAACACTTCTTCACACAGGGCCATGTAGTTTTGGATTTTGTTTTCCCTTAATAATAAAAACCTTCATTTAAAAACTGCATGTTGTG